ATGGGTAGGAAGGATCGGAGAAAGTGGTCACGACACACACCAGCTTCAAGGTGATGAGCCAGTGAGGGGTGGTCGGGCCGTGTTGTTAAGAAGATGCCGGGTTTGTCGGGTCGGGTTTGGGGGGCGGGTCGGATGACTTCGAGTGATAAGAAGAAGAAGAATGGAGTGATCACACACACACTGGAGGATGCGCAACACACCATTTTCTTTAAAGGTCAGGTAAATACCCCCCACCCCCCCCCACGACACCTCATGTAAACACTGGTGAATCGTTTACATCCTCGTCAGGGTTTTATTGCTGGATAGTAATGACCGTCTCTCTCTCTCTCTCTCTCTCTCTCTCTCTCTCACTCTCTCTCTCTCTCTCTCCTCTAATCTATCTACTCCGCCTACAATTTTAACGCAGAAAACAAAAGCACTTCGAGAAATTTAATGTTATCTCATGTCCAAAGTATTTTTTTTTCCAGGATGGGAGAGAATTACCTAGAAAGTGACGACGAAAACACTGGAAAACACAAAATGGTTTCCCCAAAAAATTTAATAAGTAATATTTCTAACCATATGTCTTAATTTTTCCCTCGTGTGAGAATTAAGACTTAGGCGTACGATGGTAAACGACACTGATCGATGATGTTCCATAATAGCCTTTGAGTTTATTATAAGTTTAAGATTGTTTCGTATTGTATTGAAGTCTTTCGTGGAGTTTGAAGGACGGCTGTTATTTATCGTCAACTTAAAAGACATCACGAGTAGCGAAGTGGCGATCGATGGCGAATAGTATCAGTTGTAGTTCTTACGTAGAGCTGTTTAAGTTGTCGTATTCAAGGGGTTAAGTCATCGTACTCAAGGGGTTAAGTCATCGTACTCAAGAAGTTAAGCCATCGTACTCAAAGGGTTAACCCAGGTGGCTTTCGGGTGGCTAATCTTCAGGTGAAATAAGCTGGGAGTGGCAAATCTTCACGTGATGCAAGACGAGTATCACAGTTTACTAGGAAACATCAGCTGGACAAACGACAATAAAATGCTGAGAATCTGGCCAAAGCGTCCCTTCCCACCCCGTCCCTTCCCACCCCGTCCCGTCCCACCCCGTCCCTTCCCACCCCGTCCCGTATATAGAATGAAAGGTGTCTCTGGCATGTCTAAAGCACCCTGGACTACATACCTGAGATGTTATTTTCCAGTAGACAGGAGACTAAAATTTCACCCGTGACACGACACCCGACCCCCCCCCCCCCCCTCCGAGATGTTCCCACCCACACCTGTGATTTCTGATCGTCGTGTGTTGATATTCTCACCTGTAACACGATACCCTGAATTTTCTAATAGGTTACCTGTGTTTTATGGACATCTTACCTGAGTTTCTGCTTTTTTCTCTCACACGTATCAGATTTCCCTGAAGTGTATCGTGTTGAGTGAATTTCAAGGGTTGAATGTATTTTTCTTTTCTTTTCCAGGTGACAAGGAGTAAAAATTTTATATGGAACAGGATCATCCCCCTCTCCATCTCCCTCCCTTCCACAGTTTTCAGTTAAGAACATCTGCACTGAACTGGCTTTGTTACCTGGATTTTTATTTGTTTTTCTATCCGCAATACGACTCTTGCACCACCCCAGTCGTCACCACACACGACCCTTACACCCCCAGTCCGAGAGAGAAGAGTGTTATTGAGTAAATGTATTTTTTCCCTTCCTTCTAACACACGTGAGCCAAGAATACATCATGTGGCGGGGTTACGTCACAGGGAGGGAGGCGTGGCTACATAGTTAGTAAGTATGGTCACAAAAAGAAAGAGTTGGACATGTCCACAAAGGAAGGAGTGAGTTAGGTGTGGCCACAAAGGAAGGACTGAGTTGTGGCCACAAAGGAAGGACTGAGGTGTGGCCACAAAGGAAGGACTGAGTTAGGTGTGGCCACAAAGGAAGGACTGAGGTGTGGCCACAAAGAAAGGACTGAGTTAGGTGTGGCCACAAAGGAAGGACTGAGTTGTGGCCACAAAGGAAGGACTGAGTTGTGGCCACAAAGAAAGGGCAGAGGTGTATCCACAGAGGAGAAAGATTCGTGCGGACGTCATATTCACACCGGGAAGCCTATACCCAGGACTGCAATGTTGCATGTTGCACTCACCTTAACTACTGTAGGAGGCCCACAGGTGACCCCCCCCCCCCTTGCTGGAGACGTTAACCAACAACCTTAATGTTATTTTCCTTGTTATTGTGTTATTACCGCAGTTGTTGTTGTTAGTGTTTTTGTTTTCATTATTTTTATTACAAGTATTACTTTTTCTGATTATTATTATTATTATTATTATTATTATTATTATTATTATTATTATTATTATTATTATTTAATGTGTGTTGGTCTAGCTATTTCCGTACCGAATGCGTGTTTGTCGGGTTAACCGCCTTTTGGTGTGTGTGTGTGTGTGTGTGTGTGTGTGTGTACGCACCAAGAGGACAAGGTCAACTAACACACACACACACACACACACACACACACACACACACACACAGTTGATGAGTTGCGTGTGGCCGACACCTGGCAGACGATAAACTAATTACCTTATCACACCTGTGGGAGTACACACCTTTACGGCTGACCATTACGTCAAGGAGGGCGCCGCCACCACTGTAACTATGCTGGAGGTAAAGTCACTGGAGCACTGTAACTATGCAGGAGGTAAAGTCACTGTACCACTGTAACTATGCTGGAGGTAACGTCACTGTAGCACTGTAACTATGCTGGGGGTAAAGTCACTGTAGCACTGTAACTATGCTGGAGGTAAAGTCACTGTAGCACTGTAACTATGATGGAGGTAAAGTCACTGTAGCACTGTAACTATGCTGGAGGTAAAGTCACTGTACCACTGTAACTATGCTGGAGGTAACGTCACTGTAGCACTGTAACTATGTTTGAGGTAAAGTCACTGTAGCACTGTAACTATGTTGGAGGTAAAGTCACTGTAAAACTGTAACTATGGTGGAGGTAAAGTCACTGTAGCACTGTAACTATGCTGGAGGTAAAGTCACTGTATCACTGTAACTATGCTGGAGGTAAAGTCACTGTACCACTGTAACTATGCTGGAGGTAAAGTCACTGTAGCACTGTAACTATGCTGGAGGTAAAGTCACTGTACCACTGTAACTATGCTGGAGGTAACGTCACTGTAGCACTGTAACTATGCTGGAGGTAAAGTCACTGTACTACTGTAACTATGCTGGAGGTAAAGTCACTGTATCACTGTAACTATGCTGGAGGTAAAGTCACTGTAGCACTGTAACTATGCTGGAGGTAAAGTCACTGTAGCACTGTAACTATGCTGGAGGTAAAGTCACTGTAGCACTGTAACTATGCTGGAGGTAAAGTCACTGTACCACTGTAACTATGCTGGAGGTAACGTCACTGTAGCACTGTAACTATGTTGGAGGTAACGTCACTGTAGCACTGTAACTATGTTGGAGGTAAAGTCACTGTATCACTTTAACTATGCTGGAGGTAAAGTCACTGTACCACTGTAACTATGCTGGAGGTAAAGTCACTGTACCACTGTAACTATGCTGGAGGTAAAGTCACTGTACCACTGTAACTATGCTGGAGGTAACGTCACTGTACCACTGTAACTATGCTGGAGCTAATGTCACTGTAACACTGTAGCTATGTTGGAGTTAGTGATACAGTGTCGTCGTGAATATACCAATGTGATTATGTTAAGGATAGCACTCTACCATCCTACTGTTACCATTGTAATTATATTGGTGGCACGGTAACAGTGAAGGTGACGCAACATCACCGTTATGTATAAGTAAGGTAAAGTGCCACTCATAGTACTGTAATGTAATGGTATTGGACGTAGCCCCATCGCTCCAATGTAATGACAGTGAAGGTACCAACACCATTGTAATTACATTGAAGATATCACGACTGTACATATGTAACTGTATAAACACTACAAACACACACACACACACACACACACACAAATCCTCTCTCTCTTTCTCTCTCTCTCTCTCTTTGTTTACTGAGGAGTTTCCCAAGACGTAGGTATAAAAGTCTCCAACTCAACTCGGAAATAAACAACAACAACAACCGTTGTAAGACAGGTGAACGGAACAGGAACATAAACACCGACCAGAGGAACAAGAAACAATAGACACGAGACACATCCCCCCTGGTGGTCGGTGCTGTAACTAATATCAACAAAGAACAAAAGCAATACGATACATCTCGCTCCGCTCCACCACAATAGAACCTCCTCCTCCAAGCTAGGGTACAGGTTCAATTAGGGAGAGAGTGATTGGGGTCTCTCTCTCTCTCTCTCTCTCTCTCTCTCTCTCTCTCTCTCCTAATTAGGGTGAGAGAGACTGAGGAGAGGGGAGGGACGGGACAGGTATGTCTAGTTATGGTAGAGTCTCAGCACAAGCCATCCCACCCTCCCACCAACCCACTCATCATCCATCCTTTACCACACTCTCCTATTCTCGCTACTATCCCACTTCCCCTTGCAACATCCCCTCACTGCAAAAAAGAGTGAGGGTCGGAGGGGGGTTCGTGCATTGCCATCTCATTCTCTTGCCATGCAATATCAACAACAACAAAAAGATGTCTTTATATTCTCCTCACGACATCCTCCTCAAAGGCAGTCACAAATGCAGCTTGACATATTAACGTACAGGTGAATCTATTACTGATTATCTAAGTTATCTATTCTTGTCTATAGATTCTTAATGGTCTAATTTTTGAGAGGCTATTCAGACACCTGGATCTATTTTATCAGTCGTCTATCCATGGCGATTAAAGTCAAGAGATGCGTCTATTACTGATGATCTCTACCTGTCTACTGTGTTGTTATTATATTCAGGTGAATTTGTATTTGATTACCGTCTCTTACCGGTGCATTCGGGTCATCTCTTCTGGGTGTTCCTGAAAAATTAAAAGGCCAAGGAAACAAAAGTTGTCAGCTAAATTTTATCAATCTAATTTTTCATTTTTATTTTGTTAATCTAATGTCAGCTGAAAAAAATCTTTCAGACCAAAATTCCATCCAGGCTGACCTGCCGGTGGTGAAGACAGGGATGGTGCTGGAGGAGCACCAGGTTAGGTGCAGTCCGGAGAGGGAGGTGAAGGTGCGGGTGCGCATCAGCCAAGCTGTGCAGATCACTTTCCGTGGTTGTGTGCACCGCCAGGAGACGAGTGTCGCCTTTAAGGGTCTGATGGACTCCTTCACCTCTGGTGAGGAAAAGGAGACCGACTCCCTGAAGGAGAAGATGAGGTCCTTCACCTCCACCAAAATGAAGGAGAAGGTTTCTGCCACCTTCTCCTCCCTCAACGTTACAGACGAGGTCTGCTCCCCCTCCTACATCAATGAGGTGTGCACCCCCGACCCCTTCTGCAAGGAGGTGTCCTTCTCCTCCTCCTACCACAGGCATAAAGAGGATAAAAGGGATGGGTCCTCTTCCTCATCCTCGGATGATAAAAAGGAGGGGTCCTACTCCTCATCCTCGGAGGATAAAAAGGAGGGGTCCTCCTCCTCATCCTCGGATGATAAAAAGGAGGGGTCCTACTCCTCATCCTCGGAGGATAAAAAGGAGGGGTCCTCCTCCTCATCCTCGGAGGATAAAAAGGAAGGGTCCTCCTCATCCTCAACATCCTCCTCCAAGGATAAAAAGGAGGGGTCCTCCTCCTCGGAGGATAAAAAGGAAGGGTCCTCCTCATCCTCAACATCCTCCTCCAAGGATAAAAAGGAGGGGTCCTCCTCCTCGGAGGATAAAAAGGAAGGGTCCTCCTCATCCTCAACATCCTCCTCCAAGGATAAAAAGGAGGGGTCCTCCTCCTCGGAGGATAAAAAGGAAGGGTCCTCCTCATCCTCAACATCCTCCTCCAAGGATAAAAAGGAGGCGTCCTCCTCCTCGGAGGATAAAAAGGAAGGGTCCTCCTCATCCTCAACATCCTCCTCCAAGGATAAAAAGGAGGGGTCCTCCTCCTCGGAGGATAAAAAGGAAGGGTCCTCCTCCTCCTCAACATCCTCCTCCAAGGATAAAAAGGAGGGGTCCTCCTGCTCCCACGAAGAGGTGTGTGCCCCTTACCAGTTAAAGGAGAGTGGGATAACTGGGGTATTTCAGGCCGGGGCCAATAGGAATTACATTGAAGTAATTGTAATAAACTGTCGTTTACACAGCCCCACGCCTCCCCGTTAAACCTAACTCTTTTCACAGTCCTCCCTTTTTTCATTTCTTTCCTTCACATTTTCCGTTATACATACAGTATACTGTTTATGATTCGTGATGACTCCAAATACGCAAACATAAATATATATAAATTATTATCAATGTTAACATATTATTATCCGTTTATTTAATGATCTAGACATATATTAATTAGCGTTTGTTATTACTATTTTTCCCATTAATATTATAAATATATATTTTTTACTAATAAGCTGAACATGTACAATTGTTTTTTAAGTTAAAACATTTTTGCAGAGTTTTATTCATCCCTAAAGACTCTTCTTACCTAATATAATTAATTCATTATTTATATACAGATCTAATTACAATTATCAGTAGTTCAGTATTTATAAAAGGAGACTTGTGTAAACTTGAGAAACATAATGGACAGCATCTTTAGGTTTTAAATAATTGTTCTCAACTTAAATATATAGTAAAAATTATTTATAATTATATGTTATGTTATCTTATCTTCACGTGTTCCAGAATATTCAACACAGTTTATGAACCCCAAGGCCGCCGCGAGACTCTGCAGGGGGAGTTCCTCGACAACACACACACCAACTGTTTCGAAACCGCATGTTCGGACTCCTGCTTCGTGTTACTCCTTTGTCAGGCCAAAAGGAGGTTACAAGTTTACAACACAAGGGGGGAGGGGGTAGGCTGAAACGGTGAAGTAGGTCTATTTTCCTGTTGATGATGAGGTGAGGTGAGGACGGTAGTGATGAATGGCGGTAGGGTGGCGGAGGAAGTACATACGGGTGCCCGAGCAGTATAGCCTTGGGAATGTGACCACTTATTAAATCACATTAACTCATGCAGGCTTACATTCTGGTGTGTGTGTGTGTGTGTGTGTGTGTGTGTGTGTGTGTGTGTGCTTGCCTGCAACCCTGGAGGACAATCCAAAAGGTACAAAGACCAGCTCAGAATGATGATAAAAATATGTAACATTCCCCTAAAAGATCTTGAAACTATTGCATCCAACCTGTACCCATGGCGTCAAACATCTCGAGAAGGGGTGTAATGGGGCCAGATGTGCATGTAGGGAAAGGAGACACAATGGCCCTCCCAGAGACCACCCACCCAACCCGGAGCTGTCCTGCCTAGTGTGTGATAGTCTGTGGGTCAAGGGTCCGACTCCACAGTGGCACCGTCGACAACATTCCTAGTTCATCATCATCACCATCATCATCGATTTCATGATGAAGTACTGTAGAGTCGTCGACGGCTACGACGGACAGCCTTGAGCAAGTGTGTGTGTGTGTGTGTGTGTGTGTAAACAAACATTCCACACACCCGATATAGAACCATAAGCCACCAATTTCAACATCAAACTAAAAAGAAAAACATAGCCCCAAAAATAACCCCGCGACTCACATTCTGACAAGACTCCGGGCCTGACCTCAAAATATGAATAATGACGGAATAAATATTACATCTACAGGAGGGAACCGAAACAAAAGAAATATACGAAAACGATAACAATAAATATATCAAAGGAGACGGCAGCGGCGGCGACCTCGAACACACAATAAAGGCGTTGAGAAAGTGATCGTAAACAGAGAATCTCGCCCTTACACCGCCCGGCCCCGCCTCACCCTCACCGCTAACTACCACAGAGTTTTCGCCGCTTGAGTCACTTCTCCGAGGATCGTTCACGTTTTGTGCATTCCAGTGTCTCCAAAATTCATTCATGATCGCCCCTGCCAGGCATTAATTCGTCTGGCGCTGTGAGGGAGGTAATTACAGGTGTGTGGCGCGGCGTGGAGGAGGCCGGGCTGGAGGGTGGAGAGGGCAGGAGCCGTGATGCATCGCTACAAAAACTCGCTACGCCACTCCGACTCATCTGCTGTTTCAAAATCGGGTTTCAGGGCGTCAGGTAAAACCGGATGCGTAGCCCCGGCGTGGCCCAATGACGCAACGCACCTGGGGCGAGAGATGGCTGCCGCTATGACTGTTTGGGAGGTTCACTCATGTTTTTTTTGTCTACTGTACCGTCTTCCATCCTGCTACCCCCCCTCCCCCCCTTCCGCCGCCGTAGCGAATGGCATGAACCTTTAAAAGTTCAGGGTTCTCTCGTGCCCTGGCGGTAATGCTGCTGACTACCGTGGCTCGTGTTTACCCAAACAATTTCACGAGTGTGGTGGTGGTGTGTTGTGTGGGACGCATCGAACACAAGCAACAACATCATTCAACCCTGTACCATTTAGGGAGGGAGGTACAGTTATTTCAGTAAAGCTTTGGCCTTTCAGAGAAGCTACTTGGGAAGTGCTGGTCCTTGGGGAAAATCACTTGCCAACGGGGAAAGATTTGGTACTATATGTTTGCTCAAGGTTGGGTTGCGATAGGTTACCTTGGGATTAGGTTAGGTTAGGCTGGGTTAGGTTAGATTGGGTTTGATCACGTCAGGTAATGTTAGATTGGGTTAGGTTATGTCAGGTAAGGTAAGGTCAGGTTGGGTTAGGATAGGTCAGATTAGATCAGGGCGTTCAATCATCAGGTGAAATAAGCTCGGGGTGTCTAATCTTCAGGTGATCCCTTTACCCCCACCCACAATATAAACACAAAACAATACGTTGGCTGTAACTTGGGATACAGTTTATATGTATCGTTAATGAACAAAGGAGCTTAAAGGCGTCTTAAAGTTAATGACATTTAATCAACATAAACAACCCGACGTAGACCATAATTACACACTAGTTAATACATAATAACACGAGTCATTAACTTCTTCCAATATGGCGTCTTTAATCAAAACAAAATCCAGTGGCACCTTTAAGTAATCAGTGTTAATTGTTCATCCTAATTATTCAGTGTGTGTGTGTGTGTGTGTGTGTGTGTGTGTGTGTGTGTGTGTGTGTGTGTGTGTGTGTGTGTGTGTGTGTTTTAGGTCTCACAGGTAAGTCTCCACACCCCGGTTTAATCTCCGGTGTTTATCTTCATTACACTGCCAGTCGTCGGGGGTTTATGCCGGCCAACCAAGATCATTATCACACCAGAGTAATTCCTTCTTCGTTTATGCATGTGTTACTTATCTCTCTCTCTCTGTCTCTCTCTCTATCTCTCTGTCTCTCTCTCTCTCTCTGTCTCTCTCTCTCTGGTCGCCTTCATAGATTCACCAACTCTCTCAACTGGAGCCCAGGATCCTTGTGGGCTCTCATCCGCTATGTTTTAATACAGTGAAACCTCTAATTAACGGACTATATAAGAGAGAGAGAGAGAGAGAGAGAGAGTTGTACACACACACACACACACACACACACACACACACACTTGAAAAACTTTCCTTTCTCAATTACTTTCACCGGAATGGCTGAGAGAGATGTATCATATTGATAAAAGAATTACAAAGATGGAAGGAAGGAAGGAAGGAAGGAAGGAAGGAAGGGTGGGAGGGAGGGAGGAATAAAAGGAGGAACGAAAGAAGTGAGGAGAGAAGGATGGGTGGACAAATAGAATGAATGAAGGAAAGAAAAAAGAAAATAATCCCAATGAAAACTTAAAGAAAAAAAGTGACAGAAAGACAACAAGAAAGAAGTTCATTCACCACCTACTTTCAAAACAGATATTAAAAAAATACTCAAGTCTAAGATACCAATGAGCTGACTGGTGTAAATAATGAAGTTTGTGGTGTGAAAGAAAACGGGAAACGATACGTGGCTGAGGCGAGAGAAAACGGAAACAATAACAAACAAAATAACAAGGAAAATAATTGATAATCAAAATAAAAATAAAGAAAAACAAATTACTAAAAAACGATAAAAAACGAAAATAGATAAAAAATCGAAAAATAAAAGAAAATTAATAACACGGACGGACGAACTAAACAGGAAAAACAAACAAACAAACACAAACAAAAGCGATAATCAGACAAATCTAATAAAAGAGAAATAAATAAATCAAATAAATAAGGAAATGCAATTACTCACGACTGAACCACATCAACGTAATGAGGAAATAGAGAGAAAGTAATAAATAATGACGAGAGAAACTTTAGAATAATTTATACAAGGAGAAGAAATTAAGAGAAGAGATCATCTTAAGATTAAATGAAAGAGGAAGAGGAGGTGAGGAGGAGGAGGAGGAGGAGGAGGAGGAGGAAGAGGAGGTGGAGGAGGAGGAAGAGGAGGAGGAGAAGAGAGGTGGAGGAGGAGGAAGAGGAGGAGGAGGAAGGAGGGAGGAGAGGTGGAATAGGAGGAGATGAGGGAGGAGGAGGAGGAGTGAAGGAGAAAGAAGGAGAAAGGGGAAGGAGGAAGAAGAGAATGAGAAACTAAAGAAACTAATAAATAAACCACACACAAAAAAAACGAATCATGGTTTAATAAAAAGTAAAATTGACGAAGAAAGAAAGAAAAGAAAGAAGAAAAAATTGAATGACTGAACCATTTTAAGAAGAAAGGAATTAAAGACATTGATGAAGACAGATAAGACGATAACAGGAGAGTGATTAAGGCAAGATTAAACCAACACGAAGAAGAAGAAAAGAAAAAGAGGAAGGAAATAAAATCAAGTGAAATGAAACAGGTTCAAGAATCACCACCACAATCATCACCACTACCACCACAATCATCACCACTACTACCATCACAATCATCACCACCATCATCACCACTACTACCACCACAATCATCACCACTACTACCACCACAATCATCACCACCATCATCACCACTACTACCACCACAATCATCACCACCATCATCACCACTACTACCACCACAATCATCACCACTACTACCAACACAATCATCATCACCACTACTACCACCACAATCATCAATATTACCATTATCTTCATCAGCATCACAATCATCACCACCACTACCACCACAATCATCATCATCATCACACTACCAACACAATCATCATCACCACTACCAACACAATCATCATCACCACTACTACCAACAACATCATCATCAATATTAATATCTTCATCAGCACCACAATCATCACCACCACTTACCAAA